TATAAAAACAAACTCACAAAAAAACTGAATATTTTTTATAAACCTAATATAAATAATGATCTTTCCTTATTATTATGTAAGCGTTATTTAATTTTATTTAAATCAATAACTTATTAAAATATAAATATGCATAATAATTATGAGTAGATTCATAGGTACAACATAATAATATAAATACTAGTAAGTAATTACATAAATACATAATATTGCTTTTATTTATAAGTAACAATTGAATTGCAATTTTTTCATTTTTGCGCTCTTCCGGGAATTTCGCCCAGGGCGTAGGCACCTCTAGATTTCCCCCCCCCCTTCCCCCCGTTGATGCGGCCCTGCGATTAACACGGGGGGAGGGAGGAAGGTGACGTCAAACCAGTCCCGAAATCACTTATCGTTTCAGTATGTCCCAAGCACATTCGCAATACTATCGCTGACAATATACCACGTTGGTACTTATTATAAGCTTATCGTTCGTGTGTAAAACTGCACCGTACACTACGACGAAACGAAAGTGTATAGGAAAATACACGACGGTTTTATTACATCTGTCGAATCTTGATTTTAAACGATGACAACCAACGTGTTTTAGTGTGACAATGAAAACCCGATGGATATGAGCAGTAGTAGAGAACGAACAACGAATGCGTGCAAGAGTTTCCATTCGCAATTTAAATTGTGTTTTTATAAACCTTGTCCGGACATTAATTCATTTTGGCTACCATATACTCGTATAATCTATCTATAATACAATATTTCCTTTTACTAAAATGCAGAGAAAAATTAAGTTTAGAAGCATTTATGTATAAAACTTAATATTGAACTTGGGGCCATTTGATTAATCTATATTTTTAAAGAAATTTACAACAGAGAATAAAAAAATCATTTAAAATATTACACAGAAAAATAAAATAGTTTCGATTGCAATCGATACGAGAAAAAAAACAGCGAATCGATAAAGTATTTTTAATATCGTTGAAAAAAACAATACGAAAGTTTAATTTAAACTTTTAGAGTTTTTCTATACGATTTTCAAATGCCCGGGGCTTATTAAAACGCATAATAATAAAATATGTCGTTAAAATTCAATCGCAACGGAATAATAATTCTGTCTATCCGCTCAACGACGTACGTTATGGTATTGAAAATAATGCCAAATGCCATATTGTAAATGCTTTGGACAACATATTATATTAATAAAATCGATGATATACAGTTAACGTCAAACCCTTTTGACGAGTACAAATAAAAACCATTGACGTCCTATGACGATATTATGTTTGCGGATCTCGTGTCTAATTCTTGTTAAGATAATTGCGTACAATAATTAAACATTCCGAATCCGTTCATTTTCAGTTTTTTACAGTGAAGTGGTAGGTACACGGACCATTATTTATTTTACTATTCGGGGAAAGTCCTTTAACGAAAAGTGTATTTCATTTTTGAAATAGTATCGTGACAGTGTTGTCTGCAAAGTGGAAAACCTTGTTCGATAATCACGTATGTGGCCAGAAAGGTACGTTGACCGAGTGAAAATTGAATAAAAACATATTTTTTAGGGATACTTACGTATTTCTTTAAATCATGACATTCGTAATATTGATGCGAAATCGCATGAAACACATTTACACGTAATTGATGACCAATAGTTATATAACTACTTTATAGATATGCTATAGAAATGCATAAAATATCTAATATAGTTCTGATATTAAAATAAGATTTAATGTATTTTCGCATATCAAATGAAATTATAAAATCTAAATGTTTTTTATAATTTAATTTTAATTTTTATTTTTAACCTAAAAATGAATACATTTTATTCTCGGGTGTTCAATATTTATTACCAATTATTACTACTCAAGCATGACTCCAAAATGACATATTATCATCGGTTATCACTTTTTAATTTTATATAATATAAACATATCTATATTATATATATTGCGTTTGCATTTTTTTTTTTTTTTTTAAGAGTATTAAAATTTTAAGTGAAAAATAAATAAAATTCGATGTGAATTCTGCAGAAAAATTTCAAAAGTAAAAACTGTACTATACGGGTAAAGATGTTGTACGTGATTATTTACTACTTGTTTGTCCGCTAGTTGAGTGGTTATCAGTGAAGTCCAAGAATACAGTGGCTAGAGTATCTTTGCATTATATACTCTACCGTTCCCTGATTAATAGTCATAGATCATATGCGAAGAACTCCAAGAGCTTGATTTCGTGAAAAAATTACCAAACGAGCTACACAATGATGTTTGAACACGTTAAGGACAAACGATAATACACTAGACAGTTGGACCCAAATATTGACTAATGGTAGTGCGATTACCTGTCAATGTGTGTGATGAGGTACTTGGACCTACACGGTATTAAGTTCTTAAGGTGATAATGTAATATGAGTGTAAATATGTGAATTGATGTTATGCGGGTGTAATGGATTAGCTGTTGATATCGCAAGATTGCTCTCCCTTAGTGGTACGATGTTTAAGAAAGGGTCCGAGTTCAAAAAAAAAAAAAAACCAACATTTTTTTCGGCATTGTAATGCAACTTAACGTGGTATGTTGACACAAACACTTTGTATATTCACCGGGCGATATCGCTCGTATCAGTTAAAGTTAATGTCATGATCACTGCCGTCTGCCATCGCTGTAAGACAAATAAAGTCACATCAAAATATCTCTCGTCAGATTGGAATTGTATTATTAAAAATACTCGTGAAGTCAAAAAGTCTAAATAAGTCTTATAAATTAACGAAATAAAGTTCAACATCAGTATAATTTTTTTTTTTTTTTTTTTTTTTTATCAGCATTATTTCATATTTGTTTGGATATAAAAGTTGAAATAGAGTCACTTAAATTCAAAATTTTAAAATGTAATAATCACAGATATTTATTTCAGTTACCAATTATTGTAATTCCAAGAATTCATATTTTAGTAGATATGCATGATAAAAACAATAACTCATTACACATATGGTTAATTCACTACTCAAATATTTTACAATATCTAATGAATAGATATGAGAATGAAAATAGAAGTCTAGTCCATGTGAAGGTACCTATTATTAGAAAAATTACAACGACTTATAATGTAAAATTCATAAGTATTTTTAATCACGTTTAAATATAATTTATGACATACATATATAGTTTAAAGTATTTATTTTTTTTCCTACATTATTTTGTTTAGTTTTACCAAAATAATCGTTTAATGTGTTATTTTTCTTAATGATATTTTACAATTACCGTTCACTAGGGCATAAAATATATCCAATTTCAGGGTACACACTTTTTTATTACTCATGATTCATGACAAAATAAAATCTATTTGTTTTTGTCATCGGATTTTTATCGTATAATGATTTCACGTTCTATGATTTTACCATAGAATATAATAATATAATAGGCAGTTGTATTAGCTGTGCTATTAATATATATGAATAGTTTTATTTCTCTATGAGATATTCCATGACTATTATCAATATTAATTGAGATAGCTGATAAGTGATAGGGAAAACATGGGTATTTTATATTACAGTTATTATGTTTAATATTTCATTGTTATTTCATCAATAATTTCTTATTCTAGTCACTAGTGTAAAAACTTGGTACATACATTTGTCATTCAGACTGCACACTTTAATTTTTAGAATACACACTATGTGTCAGGGTACACACTATTTTAGGCCCTGGCGTTCATCCTTTTTTCGTTATCATTTTATTTTCTTATTTTTACATACATTTCGTATTAAAAACATTTTCGAGCTTTGATTTGAGCCAATCGGCCCGAGTCGAATAAAAGTAAGAGTAAACCCGAGTATAAAGTAACCGTACGATTATGTTGATTATTTTAATTTAAAATCAATTCTGCTTGGAAAATACACAGTATAATAATGTATTAATAGTGATATGACGAATCATAATACCATTGATCATTTATTTCGGTATTTTATTTCAAGTATTAACAATTAATGATAATACGAATGGTAAGGAGTAGGTCTACGTCGACCGGTACAAAACCCTAATGTACACCTGTTGTACGCAAATAACAGTCGGTAAATAGAACGTTATGGAGGTGCGACCTCGGTAGACCGCTATGAAATAATTACGCGATGACATAAGCGACCAACCCGATCGACCACTAACGCAATCAGAACGTCTAATTCTGTTCGTTCCGGTGCGATGATGCGTTCTAACGGAATCTTCACAGGTCGTTTAGTCACCGATACGCAACTACTCGGCGACGGTTCTCGATCCGAAGAAAATGTTGTCCGATCTTCGTACGGATGTATGTCAATTATGTATAACGAATTGGTACTTACTTAATTCTCGGAGCACTCAGTGTTTTCGAAACAGTTACTTATCCCCACGCGTCAAACAACATACGGTTATCATTTCGTCCACGTTCTTACGACGGATTTGTTTTCGTTATGTTTTCATCGATATTCAACTGTGAGATAACGGAGGACATCCCCAGAGCCCCTCAGTCGGACCACATACACAACGACGGACTGACGTGCATGTTGCTGAAGACGTGGCTTAGTCGGACCGATGAGATATGATAAGGAGATGAGCTCAACTAACGAGTAATTCAAAAATAACTTAATTTCTAATGGTTCGCCCGACTCCGTTATTGAAATTCAAAGTCGGTGCCAAACGATTCGACACGATTCCCATAAGTATTTACACGTCTTATTTTGAAATTTTCGATATGGCCCCAAACTTCATAACTAGAGACCGGAATTATATGCACTAAAAATGTGGCAAATATGATGCAAATATGCAAAGCAAAATGGTCAAAATATGCATTAATATGCACAAATAAATGAAAAATATGCTCAAATATGCATTATAAATGTATATTACTTTATCAACTACAAACTTGATAAATTTATAACATAACAAATATAACAAAATTAGGAGTGTTGGACCTTTCAACATCAAATTAAATCAACAAAATATTTAAATATAAAAAAACTATTATTTTTTGTTTTCATAACAGTTAATTACAATATACATTTCCATATTTTGTGGGGTCATGTTGGTTCTTTTTTCAGTTAATATCATTTTGTAAGTACTAAACGACCATTCAACGTCCACAGATGTTATAGGTGCATATTTCATACAAGTACTCATCGTGGGTGTAAAATTTGGGGGTAAAAAACTTTCTTTTTTCCCGGATAAAACATCTGATATCTGCTTCAATATTTCAAAACCACCATTTTTGTGTATTAAATCAAAAACTTTCTCTTTAATAATTTTTCCATTATTACCGGACACCATTTCCATGTTTAAAATAGTTTCATTAACAATTTTTGTCGCATCAAACAAAGGTAAATTAGATGACTCTAATTTTTTAATACTTTAAACAAGTATAAAAAAATTAGTTTTAATATGTGTATGATCAGTTTTAACAGACTCTAACTTAAGCATATCTTCACATTTTTTTCTTTCAATTTTTCAATGATAATTATTTTTAGCTGTTCAAAATTATCAGCACAAAAGGTGGCTGCTTCAATCCAAGTACCCCACCTGGTGAGTATAGGTTCTGGTGGTAAGGCTACATTTGGCAAAACATCTTTGTAGACTTCTACACGATGAGGAGCTTTTAAGAACACTTTTTTTAAATTATTTACCAGTGTATTAACATTTGGAAATAATTTTCTCACTTTTTCAGCAATTCTTTGAAGCATATGCGCTAGGCATGTAACATGTATCATGTTGGGGAAAAATACATTTAATGTTTTACCTGCCTTTATCATATATGATATATATATATATCATAGATATATATATCTACATCTGATAATAACAGCAAAACTTTTTCGTCATTACCACCACTTGGCCACAAAATCCTTAAGCCATCATTGACAAAACGTGCAATAGTTGAATGATTTGTTTTTTCTAGTTTTTTACTAGCAATTAAAAAGGGATTGAAAGAGTTTTCACTAATTAACGGACCTATTAAAAGATTAGCTATGTAGGTACCATTAATATCTGTTGTTTCATCTACAATTAAAAAATATACGAATCCCCTACTTTTTCTCTTATGTTTTTTATTATTCTATTATAATATGGCTCGAGATAAGATTTTCGAAGTAAACTCTCGTCTGGTATATGTTGATTCGTGTATTTTTGCAAGAAATCTCTAAATTGTGGAACTTGAAGTTTAAACCATGGTATGTTGGCAGCTACTAAGCTCAAACAGAGATTTTCATTAAAATTATTGATATTAGATTTGTAAACATTTCCCAATAGCATTTGTTTTTTATTATTTAAACTTCGTTTCAAGGAATCAGTATGAAAAGATGTATGAACATGTGTAATTTGAAATTTTTTATTACACGGTACTTGGCGATTGCATACCTGACAATAGACTACGTTTTCATCAGTTGTAAATTCAATAGTGTCTCTATTATATGATTCAATCCACTGGTTTATCAAACACTTAATATTTTTTCGTATTTTAGACATTTTTTCAAATTGTTTTTTAATTTACGCAAAATAAGAATAAAAACTTCACTAAACCGTAAATGAAACGTGATAATATGTACACCACTACTAGTTACTACACATGACAAAATTGTCAATATTGTCATGCTACTACACTAATACATGAAACGGTAAAACATGGTGAATTTAAATCAGTATATCACTTTTCAAATTTGCAGTGTAACCAATAAATAAATACTAAATTTTTACGCAACTTTAAGAAGTAACCTTAAAATTTATTTGTCAGATAATAGTTTATCAACACGGTATTAAACTCGAAAAAATAAAATTCTATACCGTTTTAATAGTAATTGAAAATTTCAATTTCCAAAATATAAACATGAAATAATTTGATTATTTACTATGATTTTAAAAAATATATACATTATTTGTACTTCTGCAAATATATGCCCCAATCCTTCAAATATGCCATTATATGCAAAATTAAATTTGATCTATGGAATCAGTTGGTTCGGAATCGCCCACATTTCGAATCCTTGTATAAGTGCATACACTCGGTATGAACATGCAAATGCATAAAATTCCGGTCTCTATTCATAACTTTAAACATTTGGGTACTCGATAAAACATGTAACCTAGTACTACTTTTAATTAGATATGTAGTGTGTTTCAAAATGATTCATCCGATTTGAGTAGTCTATAAATATTTTTCCTGTAATTTGAGGTAAACGACGCACCAACCATCTGAAAGGTGGGTTTATCTAGTTTTTATCGATTGCCGATAAGTTGCGATAATGTGCAGCTTAATTGTGTGGCAAAACTTAATTAGTTGTTATCGAAATGTCAACCAAGCAACAAAAGGCGTTTTGTGCGCTAATGACGCTACATTTTGTCCATCACCGGATCTTAAAATCTGTGATTTATTTCTCTGAAGTTACATAAAAAGCATTGGTTATATACCTCCCCTTCTAAAAGATCTTGACGAATTGAAAAATCGAATAACAGACGCCATAAACTTGGTTACAGTCGATATACTTCAACAGGTTTATGAAGAATTTGAATATCGCCTAGATGTGTGTCGTGTAAGTAAGAAGGCACTTTGAACATTTATAAGCATTGTACCTAAAACTTAAAATACTCCTTTAAAAAGTAAAATTTATTCTAACCTGATTAATACAGTTTTTCAATGAATATGATTTTTTGAAACAGAATGAATCATTTTGGAACACTCTTTATAATAAGAAAATAAAAGCAAACCATTTTTAAAGTCAAACTAGACATTCGAAAAATGATTTGTGAACAGTTAAAGCCCTCAAAGAATGAACCAAAAGAAATGACCTTTGCGTTGCTTACAATATACATGATACTTAGTGTAAGTTGTAAAAATTGTAATATAAGTAAATTAATTTTTCTTACCATAGGACAGAATTTAAAAATTGAGGATTGTTACTGTTATCTCCCATCTACCTTGAAGGAGTAATTATGTAGGCCAGTAAATGGTTCAAGTTAAAATTTAATTATAATTATGTCTTTGACAGTGCTTATTAGTATCAATGTATCAAAGCTGTTAAACAATAGTAGTAATAGTACATGACACACAACGAGCAGTGGGAGTACATTTCGTACTTCCAACGTACCGATCGATCAATTGATTAAGGATATTCAAAACTGATTTTAATTTTCATAGATTTTACATTCCATCGACTTTATTAAATTTTTAAAATGTTATACTTAACACGCCAAAAATTATTTTTTTCGAATTTTATATTAAAAATTTGTTGAATTCTATTTTACTAAACTTTCGGAGACCAAATAGAATACAGCAGGAAAATCTTCCTTAAATAGACAAATTAATTATCTGTTTCAAAAGTCCTTAATACATCTGATCGGTACGTTAGAGTAAAAAACTTCCGAGTTTGTGATAGACGAGTAACAGAAAACCCTATCGTTAAGCAATCCTCTTGAAGGGTTAAAATGAAATACCAATAGTTATGCCCGACAGCAACTCGATTCCGCTACAAACGTATCGATGAAATCGCTCACCAACGGTCACCCTGCGATTACGACGACAACGACGAGATAATACGCGTCCACGCTCTACGGCCTTGTGCGTCTTACGTTTCCGCCGTGCGCCACATTTGATACGGGCGCGCGTTCTTCACATCACTCAGGACCATTCATTACGTGGTCCGGTACGCAATAACAATATTACGGCCGTTCTGTGTCCGTGGCGATGGCCTTACGGACAAAATACTGTTATAAATAGTATTATTCGACTATCGTTTGACTATTTTAGGCGCTGGAGTCGATTTGTGCCGGACAAGACTTCACGGTTCGTGATTTGCTTAATGGATCGTTTTGCGTGTGTGTGTACTTTCACGTCCGAACGTCCAAAAGTCGTCAGAGGTCGAAAACAAATTTTAAATCTGATTTACATTATTATTGTGATCGTGGTATCGTACTGTATACACATTCTCCTCGCCCGCGTGTTTCGTTTCGATAGTAAAATATAGTATTATCATCAACGTGCGTATTGGATTTTCTCTTCTGGCCGTGGTCAAAACATTTTCACCGTAATCGCGATATAAACACAGCATATTGCACGGATTGAAGATTTCTTTTATTTTATTTTTATTTAAAACGTTCGTTCTCGCGGTCAATTATTACGTGTGTTCGTCAGAGTTTACGTAATTTAACTGCGAACAACTTACAGGCAAACCTCATGTTTTCACTTATTTCCAATAGCTAACCATTTTTCATTCGTTCGCATTTCCAAACAAATATTTTGCTATTGAAAAAATAAACGTTGCAAAAACATGTGATTTTTTTTTTTAGTAAAAATGTTGGGTACATCTGATAAATTAACTACAAATTATCAACACGATACACATTTACCGGACAAACAAGCGCGTTATTATAACGCCAGAAATCATCCTGATGTTGACGGATGTTTTTTTTTTAAATCATTATCTACGGTTCTCGTTCGACCTGCACGTTGTTTTTTCAACCGATTTTCTCTCAAAACCCGTGTACTACCATTATACTCGCACCAAGCGAACATGTCTTTGGCCGAGTGATCACAATAGACCGTTAATTTTTAATAAAATAAACACCGTAAACGTTTGTTTTGGTATTGTTTCGTGATAAGTATTGTTGTTGACAGATGATTTATTCTTTCATCGAACGCAATAAAATTCCATGCATTTCGCTATCGAGTTTATTGTTTATTGGTTGTTACCAAAATATTTACAATTATAAATTATGATATAATTTCTATGATTGTTATTTAAAATCGATGCAGTCGTCGTATGGAATGGAATTTAATACATGTACGTGATGGTTTACGTGCGTTGTTCGGTTGGTGTTACAATTTATTTTATATTTTAGCGTATTCCGAGACGGTGTAGGTTTTTAATTTATCGAATCGAAAAATGCCTTTTATTGAAAAGTCGTAGAACATGATTTTTCGTTGTTCTGCATCGATCGCCATTTATTTGTTTATTCGATGGCTCTTTTTAAACGAAACTTTCTTGCGTGTGATGCCCAATGGTTGAGTATTTATTTGTCATTTTATCAATTACTTCTGCACTCGCGTTCGTCAAAAAGTATTCCGTACGTCGGTTCACCGAAATGTAATCGGCAAGGCGATTATGTTGATTTCGATGAGAAATTAATTCTCGTAATCACCGTAGTCCACGATTAAACACTTGGTAATCAAACGGCAGGTGAGCGACGCGTAGACGTAATGATCGTGCTTACGATAACGTAACGATACATGCGAGGTGCTGGTCCGTGCCGGCCACGACTCGTACGAATCTTGCGCGCGGACGGAACGCGCCGCGGGACACCCCTGACCGCGGTAACGTCGAACGGTGACCAAGAAACCGCTGCGGCGTAACCGTCGCTTTCGAGTCGTGACGAAGACTGATTAGGTTTTTCGCGTTTAACCGTTGTTGGTCATCGGACAATCGGGTCACGCAGCATTGTCGCGCGTACAATATTTAATACGACCTTCTCGAACGTCCACGACGGGGGCGCGATAGACCTACGCGCGAAGACTCTAAACTGGTACTTATTGATTTCTATCATTTGTCTGTTATTTTTTTATATTTTTTTGGAGAAAACCGGTTTTACGGTCGTTCAACAATTGATAACAAACGCGTGGGGACGTATGCGGTGACCATTTGGAACGTGTAGAACAATGTATTCTTCCGGACACGGCGGACGGCCGTGAGGAATTACAAAACGTCCACTACAACGAAACATATTATTAAGCGTCGTATTTTATGTGAACAAAATGAGATCGGTCGCATTTATTATAAATGTTTAAAGCGATAATTATTGTACATTCGGGTTGTAGTTGTTACGCACAATATCTTTTACATTTATGTACGGTTAATAATATTGGGTTTTTTTTTTCCGAGTTTCGCTGGATTTATTCTGTGTGTTCCGTGCAACAATGTACGCTGCGACGGATAATGCGATTGTCGTAAATGTTCAACGAAGGTTTTCAAGCTGTTCGCTGTTTTTCACGCGTCGGATTATGGTTTTTGTACGAAACGTTGTCGTATCATGTCTGTCGATCGGAGGCGGTTCGCATGATCTTACGACCGCGGTTTATCTTTCGTAGTCCACGTCCGGTGAAGCCATCGAAAACGCGAGTCCGTACAGAACGCGCGAAACGGACGACGAGACGACAACGATCGGAGCTCAGGGACGCCGACGGCTTAACATCCGGGCGTGAGTACGCGGACGCGATCGGCGACCGGCAAGACCGTGCGAATCGGCGGCGGCGGCGGCGGTTACAGGTATTACGTAGCGATTGATGGTGTTCTACCTGCTGCATCCGTACGCGACCGAAGCCGCGGTCGGTCGGGCTCGGCTCGGGGACTCGCGCGTTCGGTATGCACAACCGTTGCGCGGCCCCGCCGTAGTACCGAATCGATCCGCTCAGTGGCGCGCGACCGGTTCTCGTCGTGTCCCCCCTCCCGCCCCTGTTCCACTTCTACACGGTAACCCCGCGCCGGTGTCCGCCCGGTTACCGGTCGCCCACCATGATCCGTCCGTCCGGCGAGCAACCGTCTCCGTGACCCCCTCAGTGGTTCGGTTTACCTGGGTTCTTCAGGTCGTCCGTGATGCGACGCTCCGTCAGCGTCCGTACGTGAGAAGTCGTCTCGTCGCCGGTGTTTGTGCTCGCGCCGCCGCGTATGTGCGTTTACTGTGCGCGTGTGTCATGTTATTGTCGCGTCACGCTCCGCGGGGAACTGGTTTCGCGCCGAAATCGCCGGCCAACGGGGCCCGTAGACACGAAACGTAACGCGCACATCCCGCGCCCGGTAAGCACGCCGCGCGTCCACGTCCTACGGGGTCGGGTTAGTCCCGTCGCGCAGGTATGCGCGCCGCTGTAACGCTATTGTTGTACCGTACCACGGGGTCGAGTGTACTTCGGGCGGCGACGTCCGTCCAACGTTAGGTTAACCCGCCGAGATGTCGGATCGCGAACGTCCACCGATATACACTTCTATTTTCGTCCGGGGAACGACGATCACGGTTATCCGTGCGGTTACGATCGGCGGGCCGACGGTTCTGATTCGATTTTTGAGACGACCCCGACGATTTATTTATGTCGATGTTCGCTATCACTTGTTAGGAATCGATTTCGCGACGAGACACGCGTGTGCGGTGTCCACGTCTTTTGGAAGGGGCAACGGGATGATCGGGCTGCGGCACACAATAGGTCCAGGTATATCGGTCGTCTCACCGCGACACGTATCACTACCGGCCAACATTGCACAATCTTGTAAAGTAAAATAAACGTATAGTTACTATCGACGTAATGCTATCGACGCCGTTTGGCCACCTCTGGCATGTGTATACGTTTCGCCGCGAGCCACGGGTTCCCAGGTGCGCATGCACACGCAACCGTCTTAAACTATTTGCCCTGCAGCCACCCGTTAGCTCGACTCGCGGCGTCTGACTTCGATCGCCCGAGCGTTTCCTTCCCCCTGCGCCGAGGCCCAAGACTTTCGCATCGGGGTAGGTACTTTGCGAGCGCACTAACCTTCGTAGCCGTGACGTATTTTGTAGTTGTAGATGCGCCTGTACGGTACAGGATATATAACATGCGTAACATGTATTTGATTTACAGGAAAAAAATATTTTAGAATTGTATTCGTTATTATTGCTCCGGCTTTAAATTTTTTTTCGAGTCGGCAAAGATGGTATTTGAAGTCGAAAAAATTGGTATGACACCCTCCCCCCCGTCAGATTTTTTTTGCACCGGCCCTGTCTGTACCTTTTTGAACATCGACGTAAATATACCGTCGAGATTATATGTATACCTATATAAATTTCAGTAATTTGTATAATTCGATTCTACGATAATTGCGTTTGTATGAGCTTCTGTTTTTACGACCCCGATGAACGTATTGAGTGCTTTCACATACTACACAAATTGTGTCTTTGTGCACACAATGTTAGGTTTTTTCCCGTAGGAGAGGGGATATTATGCGGTACAGTCGCGTATGTAGTGGTAATTGTGTGTCGGCGCGGTTGTGTTTCATAAACAGCTGTGCGCCGCTCACCCGGTTTCGGTTTGGTTCTGGAACCGGATTTTTGTGACCATGTGCTGGGTGCGATTGCGCGCACGGACCGACAGTTCGGCGCAACGGTTATAACGGCCGATGTGACCGTATTCTGAACGCGCCGTGTCTGTTTTTCAGATGGCGTACGGCCGCTGGCTGTTGCTAATCATATCGTTCCTGGTCTTCTCGGGACCGCCGTCGGGATGGGCGCTGTCCTCCAACAATCGGCCGCCGCAGTTTCTGCCTGGAGGCGACATGGCTCGGTTTTCCGTGTCCGAAGACACGCCGGTCGGCAAGTCGGTGTACAAGCTGTTGGCGATCGACCCGGATGGCTCCCGGGTGTCGTACACCATTAGCGGCCAATATTTCAGTGTCGACCGGTCGACCGGCGTGGTCACACTGGTCAAGGGCTTGGACCGGGAAACATTGGACTCGCTGGAGGTGGTCATCAGCGTGACCGGTAAGCACGTGTGACTAATGGCGCGTTGCAGTGGTGCAGTGATAACATCCCGAGTGATTGTTCGCAGATGAACCAATCGGGGATTCCGACACGAACACGGTGTCGCTGAGAAGAGAGATAGCTGTCATCGACGTCAACGACAACCCGCCGGAGTTCTTAGGGAGACCTTATTCGTTTAGCGTTTCGGAAGACACGCCAGTCGGCACAATCATCTACAGAAATATAACCGTCGTGGACAAAGACGTCGGACTCAACGGTGAGATCGTTATGACGTGCATCCAAAATAACGAACCCTGCGTCACATTCAACCTGCTGACCGAAAAAGTGAGTAGCGCTAGAACAGTACGAGTTTTCTATAAACATAGTGGATTTGCAAAGGTCACTAATGACCTTTTTGAAACAAATTATATTTGACAAATTCCCGGTAGAACTTCTACATGATTATAGGAATTTGTTTCGACGGAGGCAAAAAGAAAAATTGTTTAAACCAATGAAATTCTATTGTAATTTATTGACTTCTGTGTTAGCTTTTAACTGAATGAATTGGTATTGTTATCGAGTCGCTAATAATCAATATACCCGATTTTGATAACCAATCGTTTAACAGTTCACCACACAAGATTCTTATTGTATAAATATACTCGTCTGAAAAATATTATAATACCATGTTCGATTTGTAATTCGTTTAACGGCTGCATCCGAATTGGATCCCGAATTATTTTAGGTACTACTCTAGTTGGGTCCTGGATTTTTATAGGTACTACACTTCATCACGCGAGAAAAAATATTCTACCAAACATTCCACAAAGTTATGACGAAGTTCACAAAGTATTGGATGAATTAAATACAAAAACCAACAAGAAAATTTTTATTAGTTATTGATAATCAATATAATATAATTATTTTTTATACAGTTGAAAATTTAAATTTTTTATGTAACAACACATTTTACGTAAATGGTACATTTTCTTTTATTTTTATTTTTTAAAGAATATTTACGATCTGTATATGTTATTAATACAATAAGTAAATTTTTATAAATGTGGGTAATGACGTGTATGTTTGAAAGAAGGGAGTGTCCAATGACACCACTTCAAATCTCATGACTTAAGTTAGTTTTTAAATAAATCTTTAGGCCATTGACGTTTCAAACGACGTAATGAATTGATTGGGTTTGATATGGATTGGAGGTTGGAAATAAGTGGGTTTGGGTGGTTAGTTGTGGCTGAGTGTACTTTTTTGTAGCATTGAGAGGCTAATTCGGGAAGAGTTTGAATTTTTAGGTCGTTATGTAGGGACTGATTGCTGACAAACCATGGGGCGCCAGTTATAATTCATAAGTTTAAAGATGGTACAGTTGAACACAAAATTGATTTTTAAAAAATATTTAATTTTTATATATATTATATAATGATTTTAACATTTTTAATATTTATTTATATACCTATATGGCTATAATTATATAATATAATATGTATTTTTATACTTTATTTTTAACTTTTTTAATATTTTTACTAACAAAATTCTAATAATTTATATTTTAATGGAAAAAAAAACTATAAAAACCCAAATAGTGTAGTAGCTATAAAAATCCAGGACCCAACTTATTCACTACCTACGATTAGACCCTAGTACTTGGGACCCAATTTGGATGCTCCGCGTTTAACTTCTTTATTGTCCACTTTCGTGGTATAAACATTTAAATACTAAGACTTAAGGCAATTAATTGACACAATGGATCGCCTTTAACCAGTTTACAAACGGTAGTCATGTGTCAAAGCCAAGCCAATCTCCCTTTTTTTCTACCTGTCCACCAGTATCCACGGTCGGCATTATCGTTGGTCCGCGTTACTATGAGTTGAGTCTGAAAACCCTTCTGTTCTCAGGTGTCTTCCGGCACGTACGTGGGATCGATCCGGTTGGCGCGACCGCTGGATTTCGACACAGTGTCGTCGTACAAACTGACAGTGCGGGCGTCAGATGGTGGGGTTGGAACGGTAAAGAACGCGCTTTCGTCGACGGCCAACGTGTCCGTGGTGGTCAGGGACGTGCAGGACGAACGACCGGTGTTCACGAACTCGCCGTACTCTATCGTCATCGACGAGAACACGCCGGCAGGGGTGCGAGTACTAAAGGTTACGGCGGAGGACGGAGATGCAGGATCTAAAAGGCCGGTCGTGTTGAGCGTGGATGACGATTTACTCGGGTATTTCACCATCAAGAATGAATCTAATGGCACTGCGTACGTGTTTACCAGCGAAAATCCGATCGACCGCGAGGACCGGGTGGTTGCCGACGCAGGCGGAATCTATACGTTTCGACTGAAGGTGACTAAACACGTTTAAAATATAACAATTTCAGTCACGTCGAAAAAATTCTTTTCGTATTTCCACGGACTAATGTTCTTCGTTTTTCAGGCCACCGAACTCATTAACAACGAGGTGCCCGGCGATGTTAGCTACGAGATTGTTACTGTGGTCATTCAGGATGTAGACGACGAGAAACCCGAATTCAACCAGAACAGTTTCACTACGTCCGTGTCCGAGGACATAAGTAAGACTCGAGTGCCGTATTATATCATTTTTTCTACCCATAACGCCTTTACCAACTATTTAGAATGTGTTGTTTGACAGAGTTTTAATTTTATCTTGCTTATTTCCTCCAGGCATCGGAACTCCTCTGCCAGGCTTGAACATCATAGTTAATGATAAGGATTTGGGAGACAATGGCCGGTACGTTTTAGCCATGAGAGCTTTTGACTCTAGGGTGTCTAATTGGTTTAAAATAATTCCCGAAACAGCCTTGGGAAGGACAAACGTCCTGATTCGTCTGGTTGAAAACGAAGGGTTCGATTACGATGCAGGGATTACTGACATCGAATTCGATATCGTAGCTATGTATCAAGACACAATCAGCGTAAGTATACATTTTATTTTGCTGACTTGTTTACTATATCGTATATAAAGTGTATAGATTAGTAAAATGTATATTATTCATTCATTTTTTAATTTTTATCTTTATAGGGAGGTTTCAAAGAAGCTTCTGCAGCTCATGTCAAAATAAATGTAATAGATGCTAATGACAATTTACCGAAATTTGATCAATCGACTTATGCGTACTCCATACCTGAAAATTTAATACCTGGATCAAAAATCGCAAATCTCACGGCTACTGACATTGATAGTGGTATAAATTCTAAAATCACCTACAGTTTACAAGGTTTCGGAATGGACAAATTTAATAGTGATCCTGAATTGGGTGGCATTTATTTAACAAGCAGTAAGTTCATTTATTTATTTAAAACTAAAATTAGTAATAAATATGTCATCGAAAATTACTTACGTGTTTAAGTTTAAAAAAAAAATATCGAAATTTTAGCTAAGTGATAAAATTACTAATTACCTATATTTGAAAGTTAATAGTTCAAAAATCTTTCCAAATCATTTTTCGGAAATGTGTTTGCTTGAACGCAATTCTTTTAAAAAAAATGATAAAAAGTTTGTAATCTTGTTTTGAAAAATTAGAAAAAGAATTAGTGACATACTTGTATAATACATAAGTAAATCCGATATCAATAAAATAATTTATGTAATGACTTATTGTTTTTCGGGAAATAATAGTTTTAGAAACTTCAGATCTAAATCATGTCTTTTATTAATTTTAGAATGGTAAATAATTTATAAATAATTGTAATCCAAATTTATAATTTTACTTTTTTATAATAATTGTAACAATTAATTTATAAAACACTCAAATACCTCGGTTATGTTTTCATAATACTAATAATTTAACTTCATTATAGCATTTTAAGGTATATTTTTCTATTTAAATAAAAAAATATTTTTTGAGATGCAAGTATTGATTCTACCACGAGAAATATGAATAGAATAACGTCCATGATCATAATAGTTAATAATTTATAAATCACTGATTTTAATAGTTTCATAACCTATTACGTAAGTTTACGTAAGTAGTTTGGCATATTTTGAGCATCTTATATCATACATTTTATTTTATGTTTTGTTTTTTGATTTCATCTCTATCAACCATCATCAAAGGCTCTGATGTAACTTTACCCTAACAACTTATTTAACTTATTTATTTATAAATGTACTTTAAATGTGCATTCTAATAGAAATGTACGAGTAAAACTTAGTCGGGGAAAAAAGTTTGTTTTTGATATGCTTTTAAAAATTAATATAACATGTGTGTACATTTTTTTTTTAAAATAATTCAATAAATATCTCTACACAAACTTCTATAGTATATGAAAAAATATAAAGTTTTAATCAACTTTTAATAATAGATACTATAATAGATATTGTAATTTACCTGAATCCAAAATGTTTACTGCAATCATAAGTCAGTATAATGTTTCTTGTAGATTAGCAAACGTTTAATTAGATGTTGATTATTACTGATTTTAAGTTTATTAAAATACGATTAAAAATATAAAGCGATGTGCAAACACAGTTGATGTTCTTAACCAGGGAGTCAAAGTAGGTTGACTTTTCACGAGTTAAAACCTGGTTTTATTTTTTCTCGAGTTTCGGTTAACGAGTTGAAACCAGGTTTTATAATTTCTCGGAATTCTGCTAACGGCTTTAATTTTTTCTTATTCTCGTGATAAGAAACACCTTAATGTTGTTAAGCAGTAATAATTTCAAGGAGTTTTCTCTGAAAACTAAGAAACTATTTCATTTGCAGAAAATACTAGCATTAACATTTGTTTTTAATTAATTTCATTTAATTATATAAGTATCACTTATTAAACCATTTTTAATATTAATTTCCTAGTCATAGACCCTTTTATGATTATAATATTATAATACTATTTATTAAATGATTAAATAATTATTAATTTTCAACTTTGTTTTAAATCTCTAACTATATAAAGCTCTATAAAAAAAGAATAATATAATTAATATAGATTATATTTTGTTATAGGGGTGACATTAACAGATAAAATATTTTATGAGTATTAAATTAAGTAATTGTATTAGTAAATACTCTATACAATACCACTAGGAAGTTTCATTTATGCAAAGAAAAAAATAATATAATTTCAATAAGAAGTATTCATAATGATGTATGATGTATTATCATTAACCAAACTGTATTGCTTAGACTAGAATATTGCCTAAAATTATATTTCATATAGTTAATTATTGAAAAATACCTAAAATAACTAAAATTATTCATACGTGGTATGCACACTACTAGGTCCATTGTTTTAATATATTTTGGTGAGTGGAATTATGTTTGCAGTAGCCAAATAATAATAGGAATTTTAAGCACTGGAAAACACACACAAGTAAAATATAAATAATAAGAACGTTATAAAATATAATACACCTAAGAAGATTTAAGTTAAAACAGTGTAATATTAAAAATTGTATTTATGTATTACATTTTATTTATTGTCGAAAAAAGATTTCTGGGTAGAATATTTAATAATTATTGGATAATTTACCATTTTCTAAGTATCACTGCCTACCGGCTTCGTCAGCATCAACGGACAAAAATAAAAATACACGTTTCATTTCTAATTTCCATTCTCCAAAAATAAGTTAAAGATAAACACTTTGTTTTATCATTTATTTGTATCAGATTAGTACTGGTTTAACATTTTAAATTGTATTTCGATAATAATTTGAATCTCAGTTTTTGAGTTGAAACGGAGTTTAATTTTTCTCTGGGTTTGGGCTTCGTATAAAAACCAGATTCACATCAGAGACGTATTTTTTTTTTAGAGTTTTGACGCCCCAGGTAAAAATCTATTACTACCTACTAAACTGCAATATACGTTTTATATGATTTTTTAAGAAAGATTATATTTATTGTCTATGGATTTTGCGCGGTCAACTTTTGATGATATTATCATAAAGATAAAAATCACAATGTAGTCTATGCAAAATGTTAAAATATTAAAACGTTTTGAATGAAAATGAATGATAGATTATGGTTACAAAAAAATTCTGCTACCCCTTAATCCCAAAAAATATGCCGTCGAGACGATGATACCCCCTCGTCCCCCATAAATACGTCCATGGTTCACATATTTGTTCGCACCCGATTTATAATTATTCCCTGTTACCCATGTTTTCAAAACAGGGTTTTAATCCGTTTCGACTCCCTAGTCTTAATCGATTTGTAAATACATGTTTTTTTTAGAGGTTGACTACGAGCAGCAAAGTTCATACTCTCTAACAATGGAAGCTAAAGACGGTGGTAATCGTTCGACCCATGTAGTGATTTTGGTCGAAATAGTTGATGTGAACGATAATGCTCCGGTGTTCAATTTCCCGGAGTACAAGAGGACCATAAGGGAAGGAGGTACCGAGTTCCAGCCGAAATTCTTCGTTCAGGTAAGATATTTGTCACCTCGTGTGATAGTTGGGTAACGAGAAGTTGCAAATAATAATAATAAAAAAAAAAATTACTTCTTCGTTGTTTTATAGGCGACCGACGTGGATAGCGGGCTCAACTCAATGATTCGCTACTCGGTAGTCAGTTCGAACTACCGTGACGTCGTGCTAGTGAATCCGAACAGCGGCGAGTTAACGTTGGCGTCCCCCGTGAGTTCGAGTCACACATCCAGAGGCCAGTACGAGGTGGTAATAAGAGCGACGGACTTGGGAACGCCGTCGCTCCATTCGGACGTCAACGTCTTCGTAAGGGTTGGCGTGTCCGGGAACCAAAGACCGGTATTCAAAAACCTCACGTATTCGGTGACCATACCGGAGAACGCACCAAGGGCCTCGGAAATCCTGAGAGTCCGGGCCACCGATCCGGACGGGCCCGACAACCTGATCGAATACAGTATGGTCAACAGCAACGACAACTTTCACATCAACAAGAAGACCGGCGCCATATCCGTGTCGGAGCGTGCAATCCTGGACCTGGATTCCGCGGCTGCGACATCTCGCTATCATTTGGTTGCTATCGCGATGGACAGTGGGCTGCCCATCAGGGAGTTAGCACACGCCGACGTGTATATCAACGTGACGGACGTGAACGACAAACCGCCGAAGTTCGACGACAATGCGAGTTACATTGTGTACGTGCCCGAGATGACGGATGTAGGTACGGTCGTGTTCAAAGTTAACGCCGTTGATCCAGATCAAAATGCCTCCGTGAAGTACGCGATCGTTGAACCGATCAGAGCCAGCGACAAGACGGGATTGCAGTTGAAAAATACCAGCTCGTACAATTTCAAAGAAGTATTTAGGTAATTACGTTGTATGCACTGTAATTAAAAATATTGAATTGGTCACATTTTTATTCAAAGATTCGTTAATATGATGTTATACTGTATATAGTAATCCGTGTTTGTTTTGAAATGAGTTTGAATAGTGTTGCCGTTATTGATATTGTGTAAAAATATATTTTCACATCAAATTAACTTCTTCGCATCATCCTACACATCTATTTAATGTATTTATGTATATTGTTTACAAAAATGTAACGATGTGCACACAGAGAAAGTCTTTATTATTTATGAATACCATGTAAAATTATGTTTTCTTCTTTTATCGAATTATTTTAAAATTGATTAAAAAAAAAAATATATTCACATTTTGTATGCATGCACCTATAAACATTTATGTGTTCTGTAACAACTGTAAAGAACCGTTCGATTCAAAATAAATATGAAAAGTTGTGTTTATACAGTTATATCCCAAAAATTATGATGAATCGACATGACTGGACGGTAATGAGCAAACAGATATTTATTTCAATAATTCATAAAATATATATGATAATTATTTATTCTATTAGGTACGAACATTTGAGTAATAGTTGCATTCTTACTATCCGAGCCCACGAACAATTTATTTATAGCTTGTCCGTAAACGTCGATAAAAATAATTTTTTGAGAACTGTCCGTATATCATCATCATTGGTCACCCTTTGACATTGTCTGTTCGGTGTTTTATAGCATAAATAAGCATACGGGTGAGATCAAAGTCAATTCATCGCTCAATCATCAAATGGCTTCGGTGATTGTGCTGACGATCAGAGCCGTGGACATGAACGCCGTAGAAAATGTTCAAGATCAATTCGACCAAGTCGAAATCACGTTCTTCGTAAAACCGTTCAAAAATAAGAATCCGTTGTTCACCAACGGCGGATGGTCGTCCGAAGACTCGTCCACCCTAGTGCTAAAAGTTGACGAAGAGTCTCCAATCGGCTCGGAGCTAGTGCAACTCAGAGCAATCGACGTGCTCACTAACGGGTCACTGTACGACTTCAAGGCGGTTACGGCCGTACCACGACAAATCGCCATGGACTACGCCGGCAAAGTTATCTTGACAGAACGATTGGATTACGAAACACTAGAGAATAAAGTACGTGATTTAAAGTTTTTAACGAGCGGAATAAAATAATCAAATCATTTCTGTTAAATCCGTTTCGACTATTTGCGTTTACCTAGTGTTTGTAAAAACACACCCATGCACACACTCGCACACACACATACACGTACACACACGACCACCACCACCACCACCACCACCACGAGAATCACGATCCGTTAAGCAACTCTTGAACCATATTCGCTTGTCATCTGAATAATACATATCATCGCACTACTGCGAATTTCTCTTGTCATCGACGAGCAAGATGAGTCGGTAACTTTTGAATTTTTGTAATTTTTTATAGTTCGATGATTAGATATAATATTATAATACACCTTAAGAGATTAGGTTTTTTTTTTAGAATTCTACACCAACGCACATAAGTAATAAATTACACCTTTATCGTTTCAGACGTTAACGTTCCAAGTGAAAGTCACTACGGAAGACGGTGAACGGTCTACAAGTAAAACGATTGTAATCGAAGTTCAAGACGTCAACGATAATAGCCCAGAGTTTGAATATCCGGTAAGTTTGAAAACTTATTTTAGTTTTTTATTCCCTGTGGTACATTGTATTACTAAACATTTTTAAAGCATTGAAAATGTCATGTTCATATAAGTTTAAAAATGCATGAAATGTTTCAAGTATTTTTTTACATGATTAATATCGTGGATAATCGTCGTGTTCTAAAAAACTAAACTTCCCACGCACAACGTGTATTCGTTAATTTTTTCAAAAAGATCATTCTACAACTCATAGTATAGACGTTGTGTTATTCATGTACGTTTTGTACGGGGGAAAGGAGAATAGGTTAAAACGTAAGACAGTATTTTCATTTTGCCATCGTTATTGTTTGTAAGACATGGAATTAATTATTCTGACATAGATCGTGGTGAGATGTTTACTTGTTATAGTTGTTTTAAATTTAAGTTCCTTAATATAATATATGTAGTAGATGATAAAAACAAATTATACTCATTAAATTGAATTATGTCTTATAATTTTCAAATAAAAAACATTTTAAGTACAATTTTATTATTAGTTACCAAATCCAATTCACAATATTATGATAGTTTATGTTTTCATGTTTATTTTCACAATGTTATATTAAATATTGTAAATACAATTATATATATATTTATAATAAAAATTAAAAATAAAAATAAAATAAAATTAAAATAAAATTTTATTGTAAATACAACTAAAACAACTTTAGTACGTATGAGACTTAAATAAAATATTATTATTAAAAATAAGTATGTTATTTATAATTATAATCTTTTAATGTCAAAATATTTTAAATAATTTATGTGCTTGTGTTTTTGGAGATGAATTTCATCGGTATTTTTTAAAATAATGCAGTAAAATAATTAAATTATTTCTTATAACTTTTTTAGAAATGTTTACAAAATGAATTAAAAAATATATTTATTGTTAAAAAAAAGTAAACCATATTTAGTTTCGAACTGTTCTATCATTCAATTTTAGTATAAAATTATAACTCATTATAAGCAACAGATTATTATTATAAGTTAAATATCCATTTTTTCGTGAATAATCTTTTTAAATCTTCTCCATGTTTGATTTTTACGTTTATTTACATTTTATAAAATTATATTTATATAATTTAATATTTTCTATTCAAATATTTATTCACTTAAAAATAGCTCGTTTGCAATTCAAATGATAGTCATTGTATTTTGCAAACTGTAATTACTAAAACATATTAATTATTAGAATCAAAGATAACTGTGGAACTCTAAGAAACTTAATTTGAGATTTACTAATTATAAAATGTTCTTATACTGAAATTCTTAAACCTTTGTCTACTCGAGTTGACGTGCATGTTAAATATAGCTATTAGTTGATTGACAGAAATATGACATTGATGTATTCATCTAACTAAATTGTTTATTCGTTTTTTTCAAATAAAAGTAAAATATAAATTAAAACTTATAGAAAAATATAAAGTCACAAAAAGTTTTCACGACTTTCATTTATAGAAAATGTATATGCCATTCCTTGTGCAGTATATTTTGTTATTATACTCCAATATCATTTCAGATATATCGAACGTCCCTTGTTGAGTCAAGCCTAAAAGGAACTGTTGTTCTATCAGCTAGAGCAAATGACAAAGACTTACCAACATCTCAAAATGGTATGATTAGATATCATCTTGGAGGCGAGAATTCAAATTTGTTCACAGTTGATCCTATAAGTGGTGAGATCAAAGTTTCGGGTAACGGTGCAATTGATCGTGAAAAAACTCCGTTTTTGAAACTAACCTTATTTGCATCGGACACACCGCAAGGTGGTCCTCAACAAAAGATTTCTTCAGTGCCAGTAATATATTAATAGCTGTACAAACCTTTGCGTCGAAAATGTAATGGTATAATTTTGTTATTAGGTACAGATTGATGTGAAAGATATAAACGATAATGCACCAGAATTCGATTCTTCGATTTATATTGCAGTAGTGCTAGAGAACGTAATCCCCGAAACAAGTGTGCTGAACGTATCGGCTCACGATCCAGACGAAGGATCTGCTGGTCTAGTGCATTATAAGCTCATTGACGAACAACAACTAAAAGGTATTTATTATAATTCGGTATAGTTAAACAACACATTTAAACATATATAATTTATCAATCATAAAGGATTCCTGTACATAAGTTCGACAAACGGAGAAATAAGGACGTCTAAAAGGCTAACGGGTAAAGGTCGTTCTGACCCTTATGAAATGAAAATAAGAGCTGAAGACAACGGAGAACCCGGAATGTTTACAGATGTTAAGCTCAGTCTCTATATTAGTAATATAATTGAAAATGACGGAGTACCAATGTTCGTACATCCCACTTCTGACGAAATTGCTTATATCTCTGAGGTAAACAAAAAGATTCATATTGTATTTTTATTCTATTTCTAATATTATGTTTTTGTAAGTCATGTTTTTCAACGATATCGTGTTATTTTTAGAATGCTTCTATGGGGTCATTAGTGTTCAGAGCGTTGGCTACCGATCCAGATGATCCCAATACTTTGGAAGGAACGATTCATTATAGCTTTTTAGAAGATACAAAAGACTCATCTGTTTTTTCGATTGATTCAGAAACTGGATTAATAACTACCAAGGCAATTTTAGATCGCGAATCACAAGAAAAGTATAGTCTTGTCTTGGTAGCAAAAGACTTGGGTGATATACCGCAACAATCGACTAAAATGTTCAACGTTATCGTAACCGATGTCGATGACAATAAACCAGTGTTCAATAGATCAGTGGTTAGTACTAATGAGGTTAATTTGTTTTTCCAACAACACTTACGGATTTGTTTGATATAAAACTGTATTGAAAATTAGGAAGAAAAACCTTTAATGATGGAAGTCGAAGAAGAGTCACCTCGTGATACATTAGTTGGTTACCTTACAGCATACGATCCAGACATCGGAGAAAATGCTTTAATCGATTACATTATTACAGGTATGGTGATTTGATAATATCGAATAATATAACTTATTTCCTATAACTCGTGCATTGTTTTCAGACGGCAACGAAGGTAATGTTTTTTATCTCAACGTTTCGGACAATATAGCTGAGATTCGAATCAACGGGAACATTGACAGAGAATCTGTATCGGAATACATATTGACAATAAAATGTTTTAAACACAAAACGAAAGCTTATAGTTTACAGAAAACATATAACAAACAGGATCCCAGCGAAAGACAAGTGGTGATCAAAGTGCTTGACATCGACGATAACCTACCGAAATTCGTCGACGAAAACATGACATTGGGTGAGCGGATCGATTTTGGTGTTGTTTATCGGCTATCAGTTTTCATTGAACTAATGTTGTTAATGTTTAGGCGTCAGGGTGAGCGTTCCACTTGACACGCTTGTAGCTACAATTCAAGCGACCGATGTCGACAGTTCAGCGGAACAAATCACGTATCATATTACAAACCTTACATTTGCTCATATCTCGGACAGCCAGGAGGAGATAAAAAGTTGGCCGTTCTTTTTGGATCAGTTGACTGGTCAGATTAGAACTACATCGTCTATGGTATCCTATTCAGAAGGTCACTTTAATATCATGGTCGCCGCTGTTAACAGTGACATACCCGGTCGACATTCTAATACCACAATCAAGGTAGGTGAAATACTGAACATTGTGAATGTTAACGGCATAACTTTTTTTTTTCCATACTATATATTTTATTAAATTTTCTTAGATTTTCATCGTCAAAGATCGTGGACTGTTAAAATTCGTTTTCACAAGGCCGCCTAACATAGTCGGTCATTATATTAAAATGTTCAAAGAAGACGTTGAAAAGTCATTGGGAATATCTCAAGCCAGCCTCAATTTATACGATACACAGTTTTACTCGAAAAATGACGGAAGTTTGGACTTTAGCAGCACAGGTTCGTGTTTTCAACTAGTCGGTCCGAATAATTACAATCCAAAAGATACCATATCATTGCTCGAGGACCCTAGTAATCATGAGTTGAAAAATGTGTACAAAAAATATGAAGTTAAAAATATCGAAGTAAGGGTTGAAAAAAATGTGCATTCTTAATAAAAAAAAATAACATAAAATATAATTATTTTGATTAGCGGTGTTCCCCGAGACAAATGAAATCAGCTGTTACGTGGGTACAGATATCGATGTTAGGTATTGCGATATTCATTGGAATCGTATCGTTCTTTGCTATTTGCCTTTTGTGTTGCTCTTATAAAAAGTAAGTGTTGAGTGTCTGTATTTGAAGTAAATGTATACTGATGGGTTCATTGAGATTTTTTTTTTTTTAGATGGAAAAGACTACGATGAAAACGTGATGATTGTCCCTTAGACGTGAGCTCAATTTATGAGTTGCCATGTAATAGTGCTGTGATTCAAATACTAAACAATCAAAATATATTTATTTTTTTTTTTTACTTTATCAAATTATGATTATAAACGTGTACATATAGTAATTACATTATTTTATTTTATATGAAGTATGCAATTTTTTTATTTGACACTCATTCCACTCTTAGCCATTAAAATTTGCCCAAATGATGAATATTACACAATGCATCCACCATAAATGATTACAAATTAATTTTTGTACGCTTCATAGAATAGTCTATAGAAGTATAAACAATAATAATTACCCCCACTAACCAATATATCAATAATAATATTCTTATCAAACTTAATTTTCGTATTTGTACATAATATTTCATTAAAATTATTTCAAATTGTAAACAAAAAATGTTTCAAAATGCAGTTATTATGTTTTTGTATTTGTTCGAAAACACTATCGAATTAGCTTTATATTGAAATAGTAGCGAATAGCTAAATTGCGAATAAAATGACAAAGTGCACATTTTATCATAAATTAATAATCATTTTGTTGTATAAATATATATATATATATGTTACGGCTAAAATCCGAAACATGGCTCAAGTGCACATTATTTGGATATTGTGCACTCTGGAGTGCTAGGTTGGATGAAGTAAACAATAAACATTTAAAATCATAGTTTTGTACAAATTATCCGGCTAAAGTAACTTTAGCCATTGTGTTATGGATAATGTAAAATATTATTAATAAATTCATAATTATATTTTATTTCAATAAAATAAATGAATATAAATTAACAATTAAAAAATAATAAACTACATGATTTTCCTTATATTAACCTGGTATTTTGAACATTAGCCACTGATTGATGGTATAAAAAATGGACAAAACCTGGTATTATTTTATTATTATATTTTCAACGGTACTCTAAATGTAAGATATAAAATTATCTATGGTGCTATTTTCATAATGTGAAGGCCATAAAAAGGTAAGGTGGTACTATTTATCACTATAATTTATCTCGCGGTGATTTATCGTAATCGTTTGATGTTACCTAAATGAGTTTAAATCAATTGACATTTAGTTGTGTTTGAAGTAAAACGTCAACGTCTGAAATATAATGAGTTTAAAAGACAATTTTAACGTGTGTTTTAGTAAATTAATCGCGGAAAAAAAAACAGAATTTGATTTATTTATCTCCAAAGAAATATTCTGAAATAATAATTGAAATAAAAAACGTAAAATCAAACCAAAAAAAAAACAAGCACAGATTACCGACGTTTAAAAAGGTACGATGTAATAATTATTGACGGGGAAGACAAATTAATTTATCCTAAAGACCTGGGGTGGGCAACTGGCGGCCCGCGAGCCCTTTTTTATCTGGCCCGTACTATATTTTAAAATTACATCATACAATTTTAAAGTTTATCGTCTATACTCTGACTTATCGATATAATAATTGTTATCTAGTATTAAACATCGATAAATGTCTAAATGTCATATGTAGAGCCCGGATTTATATGCATTTGCATGTTTGTACTTAGTGTGTGCACGTCTATGGAGGTTTAAAATGTTCACGATTCATACCACACCGAATTTAAACACCAAGTTTTATATTGCATATTTTGCATATTTCGAGGGTTATTGCATATTTGTTCATAAATTCATAGGTATAACACGCATATTTAATGAGTTTTAATAAATTAACTATTTTAATTTACAGTAAATTTTGAAATCGCCTCGAATAGAGCACGAATAGACATGATAGGTAATAAGTAAAAATATTATTTTAAAAGATTGTATTTTTTTTTTAAGTTTTCTATTAGTTTTTTGAGAGTAGGTAACTTCAAATGATCTAAAATATTTTTTTTATTTTTTTTTTTTTTGTATTCTCGTTTTTAAATTCCTTAAAAGTTTTAGATTGATTTAAATGATTTAAAATATAAAGCAGTGGATATTATCTTTTTTTTGTTTTTGATAGAATGTTTAGAATTTTATAAATTGTAACATGCATATAATTGCATATATTTAGTCACTTTTTCTTTGTATATTTTCATCATATTTAACACTTTTTAATGCATATAAATCCGGACTCTAGTCGTTTGTATGTATAGGTGTAGCTTTCAACTATAGCTGTTTGTACCGAACTATTTAATTATATCTGTTTCTTCGTATCATTCGTATCGTGTTGTCGTTTCTGTTAAATTTATTATTTATGTGTATAGAAATGATAATAAAAATTCATATTTTGGATGACCTTTTTTTTTATATGCTCTAGTCTGCTAGATTTAATTTCTAAAAATAGGCTCCTAATGAATTTGAGTTGCCTATTCCTGCTATAGACGGGGGTGATTCAACAATCTACAACTATGTTTAAAACGAAAGTATGTACGATATTCTTCATGAAATCCATTATAATATAGGTCATGGGAGCAAACATAAAATGATTGCTGAGACAAAGAAGGAATATAAAATATTACACAAGAAATTAATTAAATTAATCTTATCAATCGATGTTTGGTAATAATATCAAAATTGAATTGTTGTCGTCTATTCTTTCACCAGAATTTATAAACAATATACAGTCAGAAGACTTAGAAAACGTATTGTAAAATATTGAGAGAAAAAGTGAAGAAAGCAATTCTACCAATCATAATCAGGTAAATATAAGAAATAGTAAACAATCCATAAATTATAGTACTATTTACAAAATTTTATATTAGATACTAATTTTTTTTCGTATAATGAAGAAATACATAAACCGTGTGAGACCTTATGGAAGTAATATTCAAGTAATAGTAAACGAAGGTACCAATCAACAGCGTATAT